CTACTATCTGTCCCATCTTCTTTTGCAAGTCTTGAAAATTCTAGGAATTCAGGGGGGACAGGGGAAGGACTTTTACTCTTGTTCTTTTCATTACTTTCAAAGGTTTGCTGAGATGAAAAACAAAGGGCTTTTCTCTTGCATTAAGAGTTTGCATGTAACTGAAAAGTAGTCTATAAAAAATGGCTTTTCTACACTTTGAAACAAAAACAATTCAAATAATACTGATTCTGATACCTGGAAAGCAACCACCATGCCTTCCTGGTAACTGATTTTCATAGTACTGCATCTTTTTTCAACTCTGCACTTTGTATAATACACCTATAATATGCCATCAAGCACTTCAAAGGATAAAATCTGGTGTGCTACACATTGTTTTATTAAGTCAAATGCTCATTACTTAAGAAGCTTCTGAGAATCTATTAAAATATTTAGCTGATCGGCAGTATTAAGGACTAACAGATAAAGAATCCTTTTTAAAAGGTCTGTAAATATGAGTCTTCACAGCAATTTTAACCTGGGCTTGTAAAACTCTACAAAGTTGATATGGTCCATTCAGAAAATGCATGCTGGGGATGTATTACAAAACCCTTACTGAGGAAACATTTTATTCCTCTTTCTCATGCTTCCCTCTAAGCTGAAATGCAACCATCAAAAACATATTAAAGAGGTGTTAAAAATCTCATATTAGTCTTCAGCACCAGGAAAATTCACTAAGATTGAAAAATCTAGATAATCTCCCCCTTTTACCTCTAACTACTCCAAATGAATCCCTCAAGGTGAGCTAGGGTGGAAACTCTTTGAGCACAAGCTTTAAACCACAAGATTAAGTGGTCCAAAGAGGGAGTCCCATCGACATTTCAGAATCACAACTCATTTGTGGGTCTTTGGCAAAATACCAACAATAGTAGCATTAAAAATAAAGAAAGGAACAATAGAGAAAGAATGTGGCAAACTACTTAAATTCTCTTTTGATCATGAGTGGCTTCCAAAATAGGGGATTTGTCATTGTCAACTATTATAATATTTAAGATTATGACCTTCAGAATTTGAAATGCTGACTTTGCCTCTTAATAGCTATGTGACCTTAGACAAGTCATTCAAGCTCTTTGAGCCTTAGTTTCCTAATTTTTAAGATGGAGATGATAGTACCACTTCATAAGGTTGTGAAGATTAAATCAGATAATGCATATAAAGGGCTTGGCACAATGCTTCGCACATAGTAGATACTTAATAGATGGCAGGCATCATTATTATCCTCTGTGCTAGAGTCATTTCTCAAAAGTTCTTTAAGATGCTTTCCCTTCCAGCTCCAGAATTAAAGGAAAAACAAGAGCCACAACAGAATGAACACTGGTTCTTAAGGATACCCAGGTTTGGCTTCTGTGGGACAGTATATCTATAGGCACTGGGCTGGAATACAACTCTTTAGAGAAGGAAGAGATAATGCTTCTCCTCCTTTTGAAACTATCTCAAACCAAAAAAATAAATTTTAGGGCATGTCTGTAAAATCATCAGGCTTGAGACCAACAATTTAGGCATTTCTACTTTGCAAGCCTATAAACTTTAAAATTACCTACAAATTAAGTATTAAAATCTATATTCATCTGATAAGATGCTAGGAATTTAAGTGGTCAAAACCAATCATATCCCCAAGGAAACATAAACCAAGCCCTTTTGGTACTGATGTTTATATATTCGGCCTTAAGTGTATAATATGGGAGTTTGCTTATTATATATGAGAGATTTTAAATATTAATAATGTATTTCTTTCTCTGACTCTAGAAAAGGCTGAATCAAATTATTAACCCCTCCAATGTTTCTGGTATAAATAAACGTTAGCATTCCTTTAAGTAGTACAAAAGCTACCATAATTTTCAATATCAATAAATTCAGTTAGTTAAAATTATAGTCTAAATGTATAACTATTCTCTGATAAATTGGGAAAGATCTTCTGCTAAATAGAATTTCTGATGAGGGATAGGATTAGCTTTGGGTTTCTATGGAAACCCTTGTCCATTACCATGATCAATTAAGGAAGTACATGATGTATAAAGAAAA